GGAGGTCTGAATTCACTTGTCGGGCTAGATAGTTCCTTTATTTTTCAATGGAAAATACTGTGGGGAGAAAAAAGCTGTTGAGCTATACAAGTGTGAAACAAAGGTTCCTTTTTGAAATGGGAAGTCTGGAGACAAGGAGATGCTACACTGTTTTGTGTAATTATGTAAAAGGTTTTTTCCTTGTGGGTGGAGTTATAACTCTGAACATTTCATTTTTGAAAAATTAGTATTCCTTTCTCTGGGTACACATGGAAGTAAGCTAAATTTCAAGGAGGGAGACATACTCATGGCCATTGCATCATGGCATAGTACCAGGGACTAAGGAGAGAACTGGCTTGGCTCATGCGATCACAGACGATATCCAGTTTTGACTTTTTGTTTGTTTTGGACTTTGCCATTATCTTGTTATCCCACATCTTTTTTTTAAACTTTTTTTTTATTGGTTATGAATATTTGTGAGATACACAGCTGATTGTCACCACTCATGCCCATGATGTGAGGGACAGATGAATACTGGCAGCATGCCCATTACCACAAATTGCATTTGTACCCCGTGTCCCCGACCCAATTATCCCCAACCTCCCTCCACCACCCCCTTTCCCCCCGACTCCAGTATGTAGCCCAAGGAATGCTCTCTCCCTCTGCAAGACCAACATACCACTGTGGTCTTTCTTTCCTTCCTCCTTTCTCTCTTAGCTCCCAGATATGAGTGAGCATATGCGGTATTTATCTCTCTGTGCTTTGCTTATTTCACTCAATGTAAGTTTCTCCAGGCTATCCCAAATCTTTAATGAATTTTTACTGAATATTATAATCTTGTGTGAGTGTGTTCTTGGAAATGAAGGGATGGGCCTGGATTTACATTTGGGACAAGGGAGAATGGTAGTTTGGGAGAAGCATATTTCAAACTAGTAGGAGCAATGGTATGGAGTCAGGCCATTGGTAAGGAGGCATGTGGCCACTAGGCTGGATTCCGCCTTAATTCTTCAGGATTCTGAGAAATGCTTGGGAATGGGAACCTGACAAAACATGGGCTTCCTGTGGCGAAGATGGTTGAGACATCTTCCAGATTGGAGAGAAAGAAATAAGACTACCTTTCTTCACAGATGATTTGCACTTATATAAAGAAAACTCTAAGGAATCCATACACACAAAAAAGACCTGTTAGAACTAATAAATTCAGCAAGGCTGCAGGATACAAGATCAATATGAAGAAAATCAATTGTATTCCTATACCCTAACAATAGACAATCCAAAAATTGAATTAAAGTAATTCTATTTACAATAGCATCAAAAAGAATAAAAACAAATAAATTTAACAAAAGAAGTGCACTTGTACACTGAAAACTATTTAAAAAATCTATAAAACATTTTTGAAATAAATTTTAAAAGACCTAAATAAATGGAAAGACATCTTATGGATCTCATGTTTATGCATTGGAAGACTTAATATTGTTAAGATGGCAATACTTCTCAAATCAATCTTCAGATTCAGTGCAAACTCTATTAAAAATCCCAGCTTGGGGTTGGCCAGTTAGCTCGCTGGCTTAGAGTGTAGTGCTGATCACACTGTGTTTGGATCCTCATACAGACCAGCTGCCAAAAAAAAAAAAAAAAAAAAAAAAAAATCCAGCTTGTTTTGCTGAAATTGATAAGCTGGTCCTATAATTTGTATGGAAATGCAAGGGACCCAGAATAGCCAAAACAAGCTTGAAAAAGAAGAAAAACGTTGAAAAGATTCACACTTCTTTATTTCACACCTTATGATGAACCTACAGTAATCATGACAATGTGGTACTGACGTAAGGATGGTGTGGATAAAACAAACTTTCTCCCACTATACTCCCACAACTCACTTCTGACGCCAGATGTGTGGGGATTTCTCCCCACCAGCAAGCAAGCAATCAGTTCTGCAGTGGACACCAGCTGGGTGTCCTCCAATTCAATTCTGACATTGCCTACCTGGATTAATTTGCTAGAGCAGCTCACAAAACTCAGGGAAACACGTTTACCAGTTTATTATAAAGGATATTACAAAGGATACAGATGAAGAGGTCTATAGGGGAAGATATAGGGGAAGGAGTGTGGAGCTTTCCTGCCTTCCCTGGGTGCACCACTTTTCAAGAACCTCTAGATGTTCAGCTATCCCAGACGCTCTCTGTATCCTGTCCTCTTGGGACTTTTACGGAGACCTTATTGGCCAGGCATGATTGAAGCATGGATAACCAAGAAGAAATATGAATAGATAAAAAGCGTATGATCTAATACTAATAGGCCGAGTGGGAAAACGCAGCAAGGCCTGTCTGTTCTGATTCCTCTTGGCCTCTCTGTGCAGCATTCCTTCTTTCCGGGTATAGGGCATGATCCCTCCTGAAATGGGACCTACAATCAGACAAGGTAGGTCAGAGAATTTCTTTATGGCCAGCTCCAAGACAGAAAGGTGGGGGAAGATTAGATGAGCCAGGAACCATGGACAAAAAGCTATATATATAACTATATATATAATATATATATTCTAGAATTAGTACTGATTGTTGCACAACTTTGTGAATGTACTAAAAACCACTGAACTGTACACTATATAAGGATGAATTTTATGGTATGTAAATTTTATTTTTTAAAAAAGCAGAGTCACAAGATGGGAAAGTTACCACCTCACATGCCAGAGAATAAGTAAGATGCTGGGTTCCAGAGGCAAGTCCTTCTGTGAAGTGATAATGAGAGGCTCCTGAGGCACTGGGGACCAAGGGCAGGGGGCATCACTGCATGTCTGACCAGGTGGAGTAGCAGAGCTGCAGGTCACTGAGACATGTGGACAGAGCAGCAAGAAGGCTGGGGCACAGGCAGTGCTGTGGATGATCTGTGATCTGCATCTCTTTGGGGTCACCCAGTGAGACATGAGAAGGAAGGAGAGTGGAAGTCCTGCCATTTGGCTCACAGTGGGATACTGAACCACACACTTGGGCACACGCCCTTGAAGTGACCTATATAGGTGCCAAAAAATAGTGGTGCCCAGGAGACATTTGAGTCATGTTATTATTTAGCTACAACCACAGTTAAGAAGGCCGGGACACATAAAAATAAACCATCCAGTTGTAGAATGATTGGGCAACATACCTTTAGTGACAGTGATATTTCCAGAAATTATCTGTAGGATTATACAAGCCTAGACTGAAGAAAAGGCAAATATCTTCATGTTGTCGGATTTTATTTGTTGTAATCTATAATATCAAATGTGCATCTTGCCAAATACACAGGGGCCATTGCAGTTAATCATTGATTTAAGGTGATAATATTGCATTACTCTCGTGCATAGAGAAATGGAGGTGTGGGCGTGGGGGAGAGAAAAACAGGAAGCAACAACAATATTGATAAAAAAACAAAGGATAAAATTATTCTTGGTCCCTATTAGTCAACTGATCACAATTTAACCATCTGTTCTCCTATTTGCCATGATAGTAAATTTAGTGAAATCAATATTCTCACTAACCTTGTTGTGATTAAAAGCTACTGGCCCTGGGAGGGTAGGTAGTGCTATTGCCTGATGCTGTGATACAGAGAACTGCAACCAATCCTTCAGTAGAAACCATCTATCTCATTAGTTGAGGTTTACCAATATTGCGAAATGTTATATTTTTATTGTTGTCAACTGATTATCCTTTTAAAATAAAATCACCTATGCCTTACAAAATTTTGGTACTACTACTGTGATAGATGTTATGAAAAAATTTGCCTTATTCTCTGCCAAAACTGGAGGCCTGGATTGGCCAAGTGAAACAGTGGGCCAAGTGGGGGTGAGCTGGGCAGGGCGGGCCACACTTGCACGCCAGTCTTTTTAAAGATGCCAGCATCTTCTAGGGAAGGAAGGGTGTCATCACATGGCATGAGTCCCAGGGGACAAACCTTGCCATCTGCTCTCCTGGATTAAAAATGAGCATTGATTTGATCATAGTTGTGGGTCAAAAATTAAAATTTAACACAGAAGTGAACACTCCGAGAAAATAAGGTGTTTTCATAGATCATACCTAGTTTCTTTTTCAACCTCTTTCTCTGTGTTTTTTTTTTTTTTTTTTTTTTTTTTTTTTTTTGTTGTTGTTGTTGTTGTTGTTGTTTTGGCAGCAGACTGGTACTGGGATCCAAACTCCCCTTGACTTTGATGTTATCAGTACCGTGGTCTAACCAAGTGAGCTAACTAGCCAGCCCAGAACTTTTTTTGTTTTGGTGCTGGCTGGTACTGGGATCTGAACCCTTGACCTTGGTGGTTTCTTTTTCATAATCATTTCTTCCTAACTAATCATTCTTCATTTCTTAATTTGTCTTCTCTGTCAGCCTATAAAGTTTTTTTTGTGGTTACATGTTTACACATAATGGTAGAAAGAATTATCAATTAATTTATTTACAAATTTTTATAATATAACTTATTTTACTCTTTGCCCAAACTGTAGGCAGACCTAGGATAGAGTAGAAACAATCAAAGAGGAACTGGAAAGAAACTTGTAACTTGGGGCACATGGTAAGAGCCTTATCCCTGAAGGCATTCATGGAAGGGACAATGGTATAAGCAGCCCGGCTCTCCCTGTTGGTTTTCATGCAGTGGATCAGGGCAAACACATGGAATTTGGAGCCTGAAGACCTAGATTAGAGTTTCAATGCATCCACTTCCCAGGCATGTGTGTTTTATCATTTATAAAATGGAGATAAATAAACAACATCCGCTTTATAAGGTGATGAGGTTTAAATGAGATTATGTATGTGAAAGCACATTTTCCATTGTAAAGCTTGGTATGTGTGTGCACATCTTGTCTATACCACTACGGTTCTCTCTTTTCATTGCTGAGAGCATCCTGATTTTATATGGGGTGTTTGATCTTAGTCAATCATTTCTAGTTCATTCATCCTCTGCTATTTATTTATTTTCTTAGCTTTCTTTGCAGCCATGAGACCCAGTTCCAGCCAGAGACGTAAGAGGAAGTCCGCTGCTAGCTTCTGGGAACGAGTTTCCTCTCTGAGAAGAAAAGCCCTTTTCCCACCATCACTGCTATTCCTTCCTGTTTGGATGCTCATGAAAGATCCTGATTCTTGGAGCTGTGGCAGCCATCTTGGGAACATGAGGTAAGAAGCATGAGTATGAAAAGCTAACTTGTTGAGAGTGGCAGAGTAGAAGAACTAGAAAGAGCCTGGGTCTTTTTGACTTCATAGAATTTCTGAGCCAGCCTAGAACTACCTCCCCTCAGGTCCCCAGGTTTGTGAGATGATTAAATGACTTTATTGATTGAGCCACTGCTAGTCAGGTATTCTGTTACTTGCAAACAAATGCATCCTAACTGATATCATACTTATACGTGCTTTTATGGGGGCATACAGGTGAGTGTGGTTCCCTGAAGGCACTGTGGTATAGTAGGAAAGAGCACTAAATTTGAGAGTCAAAAGCTGGAGATAATTGGCTCTGAATTAACATGCTGAGCCTTGACTTACTGATCTATGAAATGAGAATAATACCACTTAACCCACAGGGCTGTTGGGAGGACTAAATAAAATAACACAAATGAGAGTGTTTTGCAACTTAGCAAGGGCTATATAGATGTAACATGTTAGATAGCCTCCTGCTCTTTGGCTGTAGTGGAGGGATGAAGGCATGCAGGTAGGAATGACTTAAGTGAATTTTTTCTTTGCCAACACTACTCCCCTACCCCTCCTTAAGGATCTCCACTGAAATATGCTCAAAGGTCTCAAGCTTCCCCCTCAATGTCCCATACCCCCTAGCTCCGCATTTTCTATACTTTAAGATTCTTTGTCTCTTCTTTCAACTTCTCCCAGTAAGAAATGGACTTATGCTCTATCCCACTGGGCTCAGTTAATTGTCATTCACCAACCCAGTATGTGTTGGTATATATCAGGGGCTTCCTGTGTTACCCTTTCCACAAGTAAGTGTGTGTTTTTATGGGGGTCTTAAACTGACAAAGTGACAACGGTAGTAGAAATTTCAGGGAACTATGGCAAGAGGTCAAGGAAAAGTACTGGGCTTCTTGGTGCTTCTGGGAGACCCCAGTTGGAAAGCCTGCTCAGTTCACAACTATTCCCCTCTCTGGGAAGGACTTAGTCCACAGATGTGCACCCCAGTGGCCTCCTCTATGCTAGGTGACATTGCCCCTGGACAGGAGTGGGTGATTGACTCAGGCTGGTGCAATTAGAACCCTGAGGTCCTTAAAACTGGAGTTGGGGAAATAGATTCATCACTCTCTAGTGAGGTCTGAGTTCTTAGTTATGGTTATTTCTGAGGCCCACCTGCACCCCTGTCCTTCCTATCACAATATGAAACCTTCCCAGTGACTCCCTTTGTCTTGGTTTGGGTTACCTCAACTCCAGATGCTGAGATGAGGACTTGGTTGCAGGTGGTTTACTTGGGGGATGATTCCAGAGAAAACCAGCAAGGGAGCGGGGAAGTGAAACAGGGAAAGGAGAAACCCAAAAAGGTATATTAATGACCAAATCCCGACTTTGGGTGACTGGGGCTCAATCCTCCTGGGGGCCCTTAGGAAACTGTAGGCAACACCTCAAAATCATCTGACTAGAGGACAGGGAGGTGGGGACACTTATCACCTGACTTCTGTCCCCACTGGATGATGCTTGTCCCTAGGGGTTTTTCACTCTGGCACCTATGGGCCATGTCTGCAGCTGCTTGATGATGCTGGGAGTCCCAATGCAGAGAAGAGAGATTCAGGTTTTTGAGGCATGAAGCTGACAGTGTAGTGGGTACTGTCCACAGCTTCAGGAGAACTCAGCTGGGCAGGGGCACTAAGAGAAAGGCATCAGCAGTGTCTGCCACACCCTTTCTTGACTTAAACTAGTTCACTTCGGGTGTCTGTCACTTATGATCGACGGAGTCCTCACTATGCAGCTCACCTCATTTCTTCCCACAGAGGCAGCCACGCCCATATTGGGCCAGCCCCGTGTTCAAGGCATTGCTGCCAGGAACACTTTCCTCGACATATACACCATGTGACTACTGAGGGGTTATGGGGCAGAAGAACTGTGCCAGAATGTATTGGCTGACTGAAGGGCAAGGAGTCAAAAATGGCCCGTTGTTGTTGGTGGCCCATGGAGTGATGCCATCTTTTACTGATGAAGAGCTCTGCACACATAGCAGTAGCTAAACACCTGGGGAAATATTAAGGTGCTCACTGTATTTTCTTCTCCATTGTATAAATAGCTCACTTTTGGCACCATATGAACTCAAAGCAAGATGTCTAAACTGAATTTTAAAGACATAATTTTTTTTATTTAAAATTTTAATTTATTATTAGCATATTCATTTTTACAAATTGTGATTTTTTTAATGCCCTTTGCCTGACCTATCTCTTCCCACACCCCCTCCCTTCCTTCCCCCCATCTCTAGTATCCTTAGGTTTGTTTTCTCCTTCTGAAAGTTCAACATATCGTTGTGGTCTTTTCTTTCTTTCCTTCATTCCTTCCTTCCTCCCTCCCTTCCTCTCTCCCTCTGTAGTAGTCAGTTATGAGTGAGAACATGCAGTATTTTTGTTTCTTTGTCTGGCTTATTTCACTTAACATAATTTTCTCCAGACTCATCCATGTTACTCCAAATGGCAGAATTTCATTCTTTTCTCGGCTGAGTAGTATGCTATTGTGTATATACACCACATTTTCTTTATCCAGTCATCCATTGATGGACACATATTTTGGCTAATGTAAATAGAGTTGCAATGAACATGGGAGTGCAGGTATCTCTTTGACATGATGATTTCCATTCCTTCGGATATATACCCAGTAGTGGGATTGCTGGATCATATGGTAGTTCTATCTGTAGTTGTTTGAGAAACCTCCATACTGTTTTCCATAATGGCTGTGCTAATTTACAGTCCCACACCAGCAGTGTAGAAGAAAGTTCCCCTTTCCCCACATCCTCACCAACATTTGTTATTCTCAGTCTTTTCAATAATGGCCAGTCTAACTAGGGTGAAGTGATATCTCAATGTAGTTTTAATTTGCATTTCTCTGATGACTAGTGATGCTGAATATTTTTTCATGTACCTCTTGGCCATTTGTATGTCTTCCTTTGAGAAATGTCTATTCAGCTCTTTTGCCCATTTTTTAATTGGATTATTTGTTTTTTTACTGTATAATTGTTTGAGTTATTTGAATATTCTGAATATTAATCCCTTGTCAGATGTATAATTTGCAAATATTTTCTCCCATTCTGTAGGTTGTCTTTCTACTCTGTTGATTGTTTCCTTTGCTGTGCAGAAGCTTTTAAATTTGATATAATCCCATTTGTTTATTTTTTCTTTTGTTGCTGGTGCTTTTGGGGTCATACTCATAAAGTCTTTGCCCAGTCCTACTACCTGGAGTGTTCCCCCTATATTTTCCCTTAGTAATTTTATGGTTTCAGGTCTTATATTTAAGTCTTTAATCCATAATTGTGGTTCATTTCAGTTTGGGGTTCACTGTTAAGTTCTATTCACGTGCTGTTTAAAAGAATCATGTCCATTTTGAGTTTATTTTGGTATATGGTCACAATTCTTTTTAACAGCACATGAATAGAACTTAACAGTGAACCCCAAACTAAAATGAATCACAATTATCTGCCGACCTCCTAAACTCCCAGAAAGGTTTTGTTGTTGTTGTTGTTGTTGTTTGTTTGTTTGTTTGTTTACAGACCTGAAAACAAGCCAACTGCTTCTGTTTGAAATGCATTCAGCTGCAGGGAGCAGAAACATGACTTCAGGGGCTCATACAAATCAGAGCTGCTTTTCCTGGCATAACAAGAAGACTGGGAAGTAGTGTTGCTGGTAACTGTTCAGTGGCTCAACTGTGCTGGCAGGACTCAGACATGGGGCTCACTTCCACCCAGTCGGTGAATTTGAAGTCTGTCCACTCTGTTTAATACTTCTGCTGAAGGCGAATTCTATGTAAAGGTAATTTCAGAGACTGGAGAAGTTAAAACAAAAATTAAAGTTGTGTTGAAAATGGTGATTGTGTGCCTTAGCATTTGGCAGAGTTCTTTTTTTTTTTTTTTTTTTTTTTGGATTTGGCAGAGTTCTATTTGAAAAATGTTTTGCCTTGTACCTGGTCCTGGAACCTTGTCATATTTAAAATAGATATTTCTTCTTTGTTTTGTTTTGTTTTGCTGTCTCCTGTGCTCTGGGTTCAAAATCATCACCACCAGTAGAGGCATTAAAGCAGCGTAAGCAAGGACTCTGGGCCCAGGAACCACACCAGCCAGTCATTTTTGACCTACAAAAAGGGCAGTGTCATATAGTTCAACGTAATAGTATAATTATCATCCTTTGGTGACTATTAAGTGCTGATTATTAAATAACTTTAACAATTCCCAAGTGACCATGCTAGGATTCAAACACTGACGTCAGTGTCCCTGCTGAGAGACACGGTGCCATGCTGCCTACCCCAAATTTTATTGAGCACTCCTCATCTTCTGGCCTCCAGGTAATAAAGCTAAAGATAGACTTTTCCTACTTTTTGAACTTCACTATACCCCCTCAGACTATGTGAGAAAATGCAGCCAGCATCTGCTGGAAGATTAGGAGGGCAGGAAACTACCGTAGCTACCTCCTGGCTGACATTTGAGCCCTGCTTTCGGCACGGTCAAGCCTTTTAGAGGCAGCCAGCATATGACTTGTATCAAACTCTATATTTAGGAAGAACAACTGTGAGCTATGACAGGAATTCTCTTTAACACTTATCCTTAAACTGAGTTCCCCTTCAGCCCTGAGCCAGGATCAGCTCCTGATACTGGGAGAGGCACAGAGCACTCGAGCTATTTCAGCTACATGAAAAGCATCGGAATTGAGATCACAGCTCAGAGGACACCAGGCATCCCTTCCACCCTCCAAGGAGCTTTGTATTATTGCACCTGGCTGCCTGGAACTTTCCTCAGGCAGTAAACAGATACATAAAGCAGGTAAGCGGAAGGACTCAGCTCTGGCTACCGGGCTTTCTAAAGGAAATTTCCTTGATACCTAACTTGGAGTGACTACTAATAACTTTGTAGGCTTGTAACCAGTGGGTGTAGCTTCCTTGTAAATTCACTGTTCATTGGTGGTATTGCTGCTTCTGTTTTATAAATTGCGAGGGAATGTGCTGAAAAAATATTGAGCTAAAGACAGTTTTCATTGAAAGTGACATTAACAAAATGTCCAAGGTCCAGATATGATAACTGCGACCTTGAAGCTGTGCTGACCAGGATTACAGCAGCAGACTGAGTCGGGCTCTAAGCTGAGAAATAATCAGGAAAATTTGGGGCAGAGAAAAGCTATAATGCTAGTTCTTTGTTTTACCTAAGTGCAAAATTATTACCACAGTTGTTACACAGTAGAAGTTTAAAATGCTTTTCTCCTTTTTCTAAGTGCCAGGCTTGGTCTCAATGATAAAGTTCTATTCATCGTCTTGTAAAGAGATAGAACCATCTTTTTGAAAGCTTCACTGTGGTGACAGTTGTCCTGTACCCAGCAGGGTAGAGGGCAGAACTTGCTGTCCCTTTCCTTGTGGGCACCAGGCTCTGGAGCATGGGATAGCTAACAGTATGTCTTCCCTCTGAGCACATTTAAGGCAGAGTGAATAAGGAGTTAGTCAGTTCAGACAGCCGAACATCTTTCTACACTCTTCTCAGGAATTATTTTTAGCTGCAGAACAGAAGATAATTCCCTTTGAGATGGAGCTTTAGTTATTGACTTGACCTTTAAAAAGAACAAATAAATCCCTTCTCTCCAAATATTGATTGATTTTCCTCTGAATCTCTTCTTATTAAATTAGTGTTATTAATGTTGACAAATTTTTAGTAAGTCAAGAGTTTTATTTAGAAATCAGATCTTAGGCGCTGCCCAATCAAAACCAAGAGGGGGTATACTGTATATGACTCAGCATTCAGACCATTAAAGATCCCTACCAACTTGCAGAACTTCCAGGAAAACTCAGCTGTGCTCAGCTGACAAGCATTTCCATTCATTATACAATGGGCTTTGTAAAAGTCCATATATGCCTTGTCAAACTTTCCATGTTTCCAAATTTTAGCCAGAACTAGGAGACACAGCAATTGAGTGCTGTTAAGAGTACCTCTCTGGATGAAAAGCAGTGGCCCTGGTGGGAGTGGAGTGTGTATCTTAGGCATAGCTTTCTTTTTTGGTCCTGGGACAAAGCATACAGATGAAGAAACAAGGTGCATTCTACACTCTATAATTCCTGACAGAGGGGAACGCAGGGCCAAGGAAACAGCCAGGGAACATTGTCTATTTTTATTCATCAGTGTGCTTTGCCCTGATTTCTCTGTGAATAATGAGGACAGCAGGAACTGCTGCTGAACTGATTTATACACATGTAATCTAGCCTGTTTGTGAGTGAGGAATGAGAGCTGGGTTCTGACCAACTTTCTATAGATGTGTCTATCAAAGGTTGATGTCTGTTAGGAAGAGATTTGTATGCAAAGGAGAATATACCAAAACTATACAGGAGACAAGACCCATCCATCAATTAAGCTCGGAGGTCTATAAGAAACAAAGCAATCTAGTAGTTAGTGCAATTGGTTCAGTGAAAAAACAAAATCAGCTTTTTTTTCTTTTTTAATCAATGCAGTATAAGCAACACATTTATTGCCTTCCTTTTTACATTTCAACCTGCTCTTATAATAATAACAAAGACATTTCCCAATTCCCATGTTTCCAGTAGATGTACAATAACTTTTTTAAAGTTCCCAAGTGATGTTAGTTAAACTTTAGAAGTATACACACAAAGAATGCTATATGCTGAGATTTTTTTTTTTATGCTGAGATTTTTAAAGTCCTGTGAGAATTATTGCTTTGCATGACTTCTAATAGCTTTTGAGGAATAAAAACATTAAAAATTAAGCCACCAAAATTTTCCTTTTGGAATTGAGCTGTGTGTCCTAGATCCAAAAATTAAAAACCCTTCATTTCTCTTTGACACTGCAGGAAAGACAGCAATCTATTTGAAACATACTATAGACCAAAATGCATCCCTGATTGTTCATTTTGTCATTGGTTTTTAAAATTTTTTAACCATATTAAAAATAATTCTACATGGATCCTTATGCATGGAGGCTATATCTATATATTACCAAAACATTCAGGCGAAACTTCTTCTAACAAAGTCCCATTATTTTCATGTATGTTACTCTAAAACTATGTATTTGGATACACGAATTATAGAAGTTTTAAAAAATATGCAATTATTTAACTTCACATAATAGCGCCTAAGACTTTGAAGATCTCCACCAAGGAAAAAGTTTTTTTATAGAGTTCTCAGATCTTTCATCTCTACAGGCATTGAGGAACATCATTATATCAGTTCTTACTCTGTACTTAAAGCTGCAGGTCAGTACAACACTCAAAAGTCACTATTTATGGGCAATGGTGATAAAACAATAAATATTTGTGTCATACTTCATAGTTCACAAGACCTTTTCAGTAGCATTATGTCATTTTAATTCTTACAACTTGTGAAGCAGGTAAAGTTTAAGGAGGGGGAAATGGGCCTAGAAATGTTGAGTGACATCACTCAGATTACATAGGACTTATGGCAAATGCCAACATTGCTCTGTGCATTCACTTACTCACCAGTTAACTCATACATTTACATCAGTCAATAGACAGAACTCAGTCAACCTATTTTATAGTTTGGGTTTAAAACACAGTGTGCTTTTAGTTCAATGAATTTTTAATTTTTCAATTGGTCCTGTCGACATTTAATAGACCATGCCATAAAAACAGGCCAGGGCTGGGCTATTCTCTGTTCCCATAACCTCAGTAAACCACATCCTGGCCTATGTCTCCAAATATGCTCCAGATACTGTGCTCTATATCAGGTCCCACATGCTGAAAGACAGCAAAAGTCCTTTGGGACTTTTAAATCTTGAGGGTCTGCCATGGTCTCATTAGTTCTACTTGCCTTCTGAGACTGTTTAGTTGAAAGAAGACAGGCGAGCCTTGCCATCTGCCAGTGTTTACAGGGCCTGGGCACTGTGTGAGGCACCCTGTGGATCACCTTGGTGGACGGACAGAGTGGGGAGATGCAGCTCAGGTCCTCAGAGAGTCTCGCAGGTCTCTGGGCAGAACAGACACATGCACAGTGAGCAGAGAGCATCGCAGTAGTCAGGACGCAGTACAGGCCATTTCTCTTTGGGTGTGCACTGAAGAGGAGGCGCTCACAATGGACTGAGTAGCAGCCCTGGCAATAACGAATTCAGATCAAAAGTTCAGTTTCAAGCAGAGAGCTTCTGAGGCCCCAAACAAAGGTGTTTTATTCCCACAAACTCTTTGCTTTGCTGCTCTTGGCAGAGGGTCAGGAGGGCAGGGAAGGAGATGATAGCGCCTTTCAAGTTTCTGATTGCCTATCATTAGCATCAGGGGCAAGGCATCTCAGCATTTCTCCTCCTGAATGATTTATCCAGGCGCTCTAGTGTTCCCTCTCCCAGAGGCATTAGGAGGGAGAGTCTTTAAGTAACTTCGGAAACTGAGACTGAAAGAATATATGGCCAGTGAAAAGGGTGACTGCCCAGCTGAATCATGAGCTAAATTCTAATTTATCAAGGTGGGGAATCTGAATGCTGCCAACCTCTAACAGTTTCTTACTTCTTTTTTCAGGGATAAGACTGCGTGAATATGTCGAAACAGCCAGTTTCCAATGTCAGAGCCATCCAGGTAAGTAGGTATATTTGTGTTTTAACATCAGCTCTGTGACTTTTAGCCTGATTGCTCAGTAAGTCATACTTTTTGTGATTGTTCATCCATAACTGATGATTAACTTCAAGAAGAAAAGAACATTTCTCTTTGTAAGGCTCCTCAGGTACAATTGAGAAAGGCCATGAGACTGGTAAGGTACAACTGAGAAAGCAGAAGCTATTTTTGTTTAATTGCTCTGAATTATAAGACCATCAAAGTTTACAAATAAGAATTAAATGAGCTTTTACAGAAATGTAGTGTGTGTGTTTTTTGATATGTTTTCTTGATGTGCATATTTTTGATATGCTCATTGATAGGGAATAAAATATTCAATTTCCATTTTTTTATCCAGTTGATATATGGATATATCAATGGGTCACAGTTTGTTGACTCATCTGTTTAAAATTCATCTTTCTTTAAATAATATCCATTTGTAGTCAAGAGTTCTTCCCAAGGCTTGGGTATTTATTTTTTAAAGTCCATATGCTATTAGTTCTCCTCATGCCCTCCCAGCAAACACATTCCTTGTTTGTTTAAACTGACTTAAGTGTCTCCCACATAAAGGCGAGGGGGAAGCAGGCATTTTGAAACAAAAATACAATTATGAAAATAACTTTCAGTATTTGTTTTTACTCTGTACTTAATTTGTTATTTCTCTTAAGGTCTCTGTGTGTGACTCTCAAATAGCTCCTGCCTTGAGACTCTGGGCACAATGCTTTATTGTGAAATTCCATCTTTCCTTTCCATTAACATGGAGCCCATCTGTGCTTTCTCCAAAGGACCTTTTTTCCGCTGGACTTTTCTGAATACCGCAGGGCATGCGGCGGTTCCTGAATAGTTTAGGTCTGATGCACCATCACAGCATAAACACAATCACAAACGATTGACTGTATTTTGGAGGGGCGTGTGTGTGGCCAGGTTGTGAACACATCATTGAGGGTTTTAGAAATCCTAGCGCACATTGGTGGTGGGGGTGGGTGGAGGGACAGATTTTTACCTGTCATGACTAATGCATATCCTTAAATTGATGGGTTCTTAAGTGGCAGGATGTATAACAACCTCTGGAAACCTGTCATTGAACAAACCACCAAGGAAGAATATAGGCATTTGGCAAGGATTCCACTCAGTATTGTCACATTTAGCCCTCTGGTGTGTACCTAGTGGGTTTCTGACTTACCCTAACAGTGGTAGTGAAATTTATTTTTTTCTCCCAGACCTGTGGACATCCTTGAGCCTTTAAATCTCCTCTTTTACCCAGTGTGCAAGCTGTTAGTAGCATGGACTCTGAAACCAATTTGCTGGGGTTCTTAATCCATTTTGTACTGGTATAGGATTATGGGGATATTACTTTACCAACTTTACCTCTCTGGACCTCTGTTTCTATAAAATGGAGATAATAATAGTACCCACCTCCTAGGGCTACATGTATAAGATGCTTAAAACAGCGTGGTAAATGCTCATTGGGTGTCAGCCATTATTATAGTTATTATCATTCAGGAATGCTTTATGTTAAAGTTATGAGAAATAACACCATTTAATCACTGCATATGAAGCCCCTGAAGTGCTAAACATAAAACTTCCTTTTTATTTTGCAGGACACAAAAACATAGTCTTCTTGCAGACTACCTTTGCTTCTCTTTCTTTAAAGCTGAAAGTGCACTGATTTTTCTTCCTTAGTGCTCCCTGGCCTCCCTCAAATCTGAAAATTCACCAGTATTTTATTTACTAATTTTGACCTTGATATATTTTTAGATCTGTGATATTTTAAAAGCTGCTATTGACTATTCTCATTAGCTGTTATTATACTGCATTAGGAAAAAATCCATCCACTCTGCCAACAAAGGAAATACAGTAGTTCCTTCTGGATGTGGTATTGCCTCTTCTGATGTATTTTATGCCACACAAAAAGCCCAATTTAATGCACCTTCAAATGAAATATTATTTCTTGTGGCAAAATAGGATCGGCACTATCTGATATTTTCCTATCATCTTTGCATTAACTTTAAGTAGCGCACATTAAGTAAAATATGAAAATGGTTACACTGTACAAAATGGCTTATAGTAGGAACATTATCTGGGTTATAGTCCTGTGTGAAACAAATAGAAACCCCGATTGAGGGTTGTATCCTCATTGTGTAAATACCACTTCAGAGTCTTAAATGTTCTATTCAATACGCTGTTGTCACTTCCTTTTATTAGGACCTTATTTCGATCCAGTTCAAGTGTTGTTTCCTGGGTGCATGGTGTGTGCCAGGCACTGTGCTAAGTGTAGGCAATATAAAGATGAGTTGATACCTTATCCCCATGTTTGAGGAACTCATAGTCTCCCATACTTACTAGCTACGTGGTTTTGGGCAAGTTGTTTAGCCTCCTTATGCCTCGGTTTCCTCATCTGTCAAGGGGAGAATTAATAGTAGTACCTATCTCATGGATTGCTGGGAAGGTTAAATGAACTTAATACATGTAAATGCTTAACCCAGTGCCTAGCTCATTGTAATTGCTTAATAAATATTAGCTGTTATCATCAATTGCCATCATCATCACCTACTTCAATAGTTCAATAGTTTTACAGAATGTTGTTAATGAGATTAAAAGTTTCCATGATTATGTTTGGAAAAATTTCTCATAGTCCATAACTTGCTAATGGCATCATGCTATTTCTAAGAGGGCAGTAACATATTTCAGAACATATTGGACCTTTTCAATGAGTATCTTGTAGGATAGTGTTTTGTGGTGGAAATTTCTAGAAACAATGACTTAGATCTCTATTTTGTCTGGCATGAGTGAAGTTAAGCCACTTTCAACCATACTTCCAACAGTCAGGCATTTCAGGCATTGAATTCTGCACGTATGTGTGTCACACAAAATGGAGTCAAATGGTTACCAGTTATCTGTGACATTAGTTTATTCCTAGTTTACCTTTCTATAAAGTGGGGACTATCATACTACTTAATAGGGTTGTTATAATGAATAAACAAAATAATGTAGTGCAAGTGCCTGGTGTATAGTATACAAATTTCTTAAGAGATGACTCTCCTAACTATCCAAGTACTGCATAGAATGGTCTTTCTTTCTCTTCAACTGGCTCCATCTCCTCCATGCAACAGAATAAGGGGGAGGCAAGAACTAGACCCATCCTTAGAGGAGGTGGACAGTTGTCTTTTACATGGCCTTTGAATTGTAAGGGGATTCTAAGTCTATACTTCTTTTCAGTTGTATTAATTAAATCTCAGCCAGGGGCATAAAAACATCCTGAAGGATCAGTTGATTCTTCCATAGCCTGGGAGGGCCTTTGTCTCCTAAGCAGCTGATAAAGTTCAATATCAGAGCTTGGCAAACCTTTTATGTAAAGGACCAGATAGTAAATATTTTAGATTTTGCAGGTCATTTGTTCTGTCCCAACTACTCAACTCTGCCATTATACCACAAAAGCAGTCATAGACAATATATAAATGAATGAGCGTGGCTGTGTTCCCATGAAACTTTATTTACAAAAGCAGGTTTTAGCCCACGGGCTGTAGTTTGCCCACCTCAGTTCTAGACTCTCCAGGCAGCTTGTTACACCCCACTGTTGATGGGAATAGAGTTGCAACAAAGTAATATTAGCACACTGGGCATACTGGTTCTGCTCTCTCCAGATGAAAGAATTTGACATGACAGGTGGTGGGGAAAGCTGGAGCTGCCGGGAAATCTAATCTCATCAGTGATCTGCTCAGGGACTCTCTCTAATGAGACCAAGTGACACCAGTCACTGGCAGCACCTGTCTGTCCTTTCTCTTCCTCCTGAACACACCCCCTTTAAGAACCACCACAGACCTCCCCAAGGCCTCAACCCACCCGAAGACAATCTTCTCTAGGCTGTCACTGGTTCTTTCTTCCTACTGTTGATCAAAGTAAGTTGAGTACCTATTAGTTGTCCTCTCCCATGAGATCTGAGAGCTTCGTGGTTGACCAGAAACGAGTCCTGTGCTCTGCTATGTGACTTCACTCCTCTGGTCCTTGTAATCTGCAAAAGGAGGGTGTTGCATTAAATGACCTCTACACCTCTGTCCAGTTTCTAATAGTCTGTAAACTTCTTGAGAATAACTTTTAAGGTTTATTATTAGGATGACAATAATAGTTACGATTTATTCAGGGTTTACTATGTACCTGGCACAGTGCAATGTCATTTCCATGAATCATAATGTTAGGTTTGGGGAAGTGAAATAACACCCCCAGGGATACACAGTCTGTAAGTAGGAGAGCCAGAACCCAAACTCAGTTGTTCAGTCTGATCCAAAGTTCATGTTCAGAACCACTCTGCAACATTGTCTAGTCTCATTACTTACCATCCCCACCTTTGGCAGAGAGAGTTAGGCTGGAGGAGTGGGTGTGGATCATTTCAAGAATAATCATAAGTACCAAGACTATTTGAGGGACAATTACCATTTTATGAATGCTGGGTGCCTCCCTTTTAAAGAACCCAACCAACTTTCAGAAACAGTATCAACATTTCAGTGAAGAAGCTAATAGTTTATCCCGATTAAAGTCATCTTAAAAGTAAGTTGGCTTGGAGTGAAAAGTACAAAGTGAAGTGACTCAATGACAAACATAGTCTTGAAAACCAAATGACCATGGCCACTGAATTACCACCTCTGGGCTTAACCAACTTAATCAAGCTGCTTGTGAAACTAAATCCAAGTCCTTTATCATATCTTTGAAGGAATGATCACAAGAGCCCTGTGTCATTAGTGAGTGTGTGACTTCTTACTGTGGGAAGTTTTCCGTTGCTACCCAATCCACAGGTGGAGCAGAATATTTTGATGCCCAACATTTTAGTACATCTTTCCCTTTCCCACCTGTTTTCATTGCTCTTCCACTCTCCATTGCTCAGGACATAAAGGCTGTGTGGAATAAGAAAGCAGCCTCTGTGGAAGGCAAAAATATTTACAGACAGGCGTTAGGGACTCTGTTTCCTGGGTAGGATTTCCAATTTAAAA